ATAATCAAAAGTGATCATATTTTCCAGGTTGCCCATTCACGTCACCACTACTCAGTGGCGCGCGTGGAGCCAAAGTGGTAGAATCACATCATTTTACGCTGAGGCAAAGGCATTGGACAGAAGATTATCAAAGTTGAAATTTGTGCTGAATGGCGCCAGGGAGAAAGATGTCAATTTTGTGCTTTCTTCGGATGGTGGTAGATCTAGCAGCAGGTTCGTGGGTATAGATGGGGCTGAAATGACCATTAGGTGCGCGACTAGATGAGCGCGATCTATTAGTTGTCATCAGCCTGGAAGAAACGCTTTTTTCTTCTAATCATAGCCCATTGATATAAGTGGCCCTTCATCTTGATACCCGCATAGTCAGATGTTTCGTCCAATGTATAGATCATGTGATCGCGTGTAGAAGTAGGTCAACATCTAAATTTTTCCACCTGCAAATCTTCGTAATTCAGTCCAAGAGACCGAGAATTTTCAGAGACCGGGAAAGAGCGAGTATAGGTTTGTGAGCCGGGAATGAAGGGTTCAACTGATATTTGGATATTGGGGCACCAATGGGGGCAGAGTCTGTCACGAAACCTAATAGTCCGCCCCTACACTTTTCGAAGAACGGGGAAAATGGGTCAGAGGTTGAAAAAAGAGCTCTTAACCGCTATTAGGGGATGGGACGTGCACCAAAGTGTGCGAAAATTGCCGAGAAGCCTTATAATTCATTTCCCAGACTACCCGGAAAGCAAACAAGAACGATTGAGGGGGAAAATTTATATCCTCATGGGGTGCAGGGTGTGCACCAAATTGAAAGGAGCCAGAATCAAAATCTTTGTTACTCTAATCGGTATCGCTGGATCTCTGTTCTCAACACGCTTTGGTCAGCGAATATTCATCGAAACGGCGTCGCTAAGAGATGCCAATATTTCTTCATGCCCAACGCTGCGTAACTCTTCACCGAAGAGAAGATAGGGGGATTTTTTCTCACAAAAAAAGTGAAAAATGACTTTTCCGTCGTAGTTTGCACTGAAGTGTATTTGACCTTGACTTCTACAAGAGTCAACTCTATGAAGAAGCCCCTTTCAAAAATGTGATCAATGCTGCGCTCTACCTATGTCGAGATTGAGAATGGTTCAACATATGTAGACGGTGCCCTTGCAGAATGTGAGTCCATATAACTATACCTGTTACCAACCGTCTCTCAATGGACATTTAGTCTTGTCTGGAAGCCTGCATCTTTCACCGCTATACTGCTTGTAAAAAGAGAAGAATGATTCCATCTTCGAATCCAGATCGTCAATTCCTTTCGTCTTAAAAGGATTTCAAAAGAAAATACCAACATTTCAACCTCCATCTATGTCCAATACAAAGCGAAAACCTGAAACGAAACTATAGTATGCGCGTACCTCAGAATTTGGAGGTGGTGGCATTTCTTGACTATCTCTAACCACCTCTTCGCTTTCTTCTGGCCCTTCCACCTTGACGGAGTTCATCTCAAGTTTTGCAGCGCTGTGAATGATTTTATAAGACTTTACGATCAATACGACAAAAAAAACTGATAACTCAAAAAACGATGTGAAAGTCAGTCAGTTTATCCGAGGCTTTATATCCACCACAAAGGTGTTCAAACTTTTCTTCTGAGCACTAGCTAGCTGATCAGTGTTGAATTAGCCACTTATTGGCAATATTGTTCTGGAAGATTCGCTGCATTCTTGAAGCACGACTGAGATTGGATTGAACAAATTCTCAGGGTGATGATTTCCGCCTCCCGCCAGCCGCGAAGAATTTCGTCATCATTTGCTCGCGATGCGCCGTCTACTCCTGTCTCCCTCGTTTCATAGTTCCACCATGTGGCCCAGAATACGTGGCAGCTGCTTTTGAGGGGATTCCACCAGGTCGGAAGGTCGGCAAGGAGAACCCAGCCAAAAAACAGGCGCGACCCCCGTATAGAGGGTGTGCAGGCGACACGCGATTTTGCAGCGAAGATGTGCGCCGACGATTTAGCATGGACGTCCCGCGGCCGCGCTTGAGCGCCGCAGCCACCGGACTGGCAACCACTTTTCTAGCCGTTTACCAGACAAATAGATGGAGGGAGAGCTAGAGAAGGTTAGCATTGAAAAGGCAGCGGTGAGATTCGCATCAATGCGGAAGTCAATGGGTAAGGAGGGTGTCCATTTCTCGGATTCTGAGCCGTTCTGGGAACGGTTTTTCTTCATTCCGGCACCACTGACAAACCTTTATCTTGATCTTAATGGGCTCCCTTCATAGCACATACTCCGCTTCTGAGGAGGCTGTTCTCAGCATAAGCCATAGCTTCCATATTGCGTTTTCCTACGAATTCGTTATATGTCTCGGATTGTGTCAAAAATAAACCATTACAATTTTCGAAATTGAAGATAATATTTCAAATAAAAAACTGGTGATACCTTGGAGGCAGCTGTTCAGATTTTCTTCTTCTTCCTTTTAGCGATATTGATTGTCTTCTTCGTATTTTGCCGGACATGAGTAATGGCAATCTTCTTCACTGAAAAAATCCAAGTTGAAAGCAATCCTTTTCTTTGTAGTATATGTATGCATGTTAATGTGTAGAACTTTAACAAAATGAAAAGATCTCTACGCTTCACATCTTTACTGATGTCCTTGGTTGAGCGAAACTCCGTCAAGCTCCAGACAAAGTTTTGCTGTCGGCGAGTCAGACCCAAATTGAATCCAAGTGGAGGGAAGTGTCATGATTCAAGAAAGAATGAATGTTTGTGTGGATTCACACATGAGAATTCGTCGCAACACTTACGTATTTTGAGATCGAGCGGATGTTTCCCGCTTGACAAAACTATCCACTTGGTGTAGAAAATATTGCGTGCGTTATACCAAAACGTGCGTTATACCAAAAAAAAATTATTTGCAAACCTGCGACGATCGCGACCTCTTGACACTAGCCTGGAGCAATTTTGTCGAGTATTTCGAGGTGGGACACATGGTGCCAGTCGTCTGGTCAACAACTCGCTCTTCAAAATAGGGCCTCAGAAATCAGTCGAGCCACTAATCATCATTTTATTAGGCCCAAACAAACGCTCCAAGCCTATCCCTTAATTCACTGGTGGCAGTTTTTGTAAAACGTCATAATTGCGGAAAATGCACGGCCTTATTCCAAGATTGATGTAGAGCTTTTGCGAAGAGATCCGTTTGGTGGAAAATTATCGTGAAACTATAACGATAACAACGAATGGTGCTCACTGGCTGACATTTTCCATACATTTTTCCTCAACTTTGAGTGATGATGTGAATGGAAATGTCGACAAGTGAGCCACCATTCGTTGTTATCGTTATAGTGTGTCACAGAAATAATTTTGTCCACAAAACGCATTCTCGCAAAGTTACATCAATTGAATAAGGGGCAATGTTTCCGCAATTATTTGCGTTTTTTAAAAACTGAACAGAGGATATAGGGATTACGCTGAGCGTTTGTTTTGCTATAAAATGCTGTTAGTGCTACGAGCTGTATTTCTGAGGCCTTTTGAGAGAGCGAGTTCGTTGGAGACGACTGCACATGTGTCACTCGAAAACTCGTACAAAATCATGCCTCTAGGCTTAGTGTCAGAGTCGCGATCGTCGCAGGCTTGGACAATAATTTTTTTTTGGTATAACGCACGTTTTGGTATAACGCACGCAATATTTTCTACACCAAGTGGATAGTTTTGTCAAGCGGGAAACATCCGCTCGATTCTCAAAGTACGTAAGTGTTGCGACGAATTCTCATGTGTGAATCCACAAACATTCCTTCTTTCTTGAATCATGACACTTCCCTCCACTTGGATTCAATTTGGGTCCGACTCACCGACAGCAAAGCTTTGTCTGGAGCTTGACGGAGTTTCGCTCAACCAAGGAACATCAGTAAAGATGTGAGCGTAGAGATCTTTCATTTTGTTAAAGTTCTACACATTAACATGCATACATATACTACAAAGAAAAGGATTGCTTTCAACTTGGATTTTTTCAGTGAAGAAGATATTGCCATTACTCATATCAGGCAAAATACGAAGAAACAATCAAATTCTGCTAAAAGGAAGAAGAAGAAAACTGAACAGCTGCCTCCAAGGTATCACCAGTTTTTTATATGAAATATTATCTTCAATTTCGAAAATTGTAATGGTTTATTTTTGACACAATCCGGGACATATAACGAATTCGTAGGAAAACGCAATATGGAAGCTATGGCTTATGCTGAGAACAGCCTCCTTACAAGCGGAGTATATGCTATGAAGGGAGCCCATTAAGATCAAGATAAAGGTTGTCAGTGGTGCCGGAATGAAGAAAAAACCGTTCCCAGAACGGCTCAGAATCCGAGAAATGGGACATTCCTTACCCATTGACTTCCGCATTGATGCGAATCTCACCGCTGCCTTTTCAATGCTAACCTCTCTTACTCTCCTCACCTTTTGTCTGCGGTAACGGCTAGTAAAAGTGCTTAGAGTCGGTGGGCGTGCCGCGTCAAGCGGCGCGGGGACGGCCATGCTAAATCGTCGGGGCACATCCTTCGCTGCAAATCGCGTGTCGCTCCACACCCTCTGGGGTTCCGACTGTTTTTGGCTGGTTCTCCCTTGTCCGACCTTCGACCTTGTGTGGAATCCTCCTCAAAAGCCAGCTGCCACAGTATTCTGGGAGCACATGGGTGGCTATGAACGAGGACAGGATAGAGGCCATCGCGAGCAAATGATGAACGATCTTTCGCGGCTGGCGGGAGCGGAAATCATCACCATCAGAATTTGGTTCAATGCCAATCTAGCAGTGCTTTCAAGAATGGGAATCTTTCCAGAACAATATTGCCAATAAGTGGCTAATTCAACACTGATTAGCTAGCTAGTGCTCAGAAGAAAAGTTTGAACACCTTTGTGGTGGATATAAAGCCTCGGATAAACTGACTGTTTTCACGTCCTTTTTTGAGTTATCAGTTTTTTTTTGTCATATTGATCGTAAAGTCTTATAAAATCATTCACAGTGCTGCAAAACTTGAGATGAACTCCGTCAAGGTGGAAGGGCCAGAAGAAAGCGAAGAGGTGGTTAGAGATAGTCAAGAAATGCCACCACCTCCAAATTCTGAGGTACGCGCATACTATAGTTTCGTTTCAGGTTTTCGCTTTGTATTGGACATAGATGGAGGTTGAAATGTTGGTATTTTCTTTTAAATCCTTTTAAGACGAAAGGAATTGACGATCTGGATTCGAAGATGGAATCATTCTTCTCTTTTTACAAGCAGTATAGCGGTGAAAGATGCAGGCTTCCAGACAAGACTAAATGTCCATTGAGAGACGGTTGGTAACAGGTATAGTTATATGGACTCACATTCTGCAAGGGCACCGTCTACATATGTTGAACCATTCTCAATCTCGACATAGGTAGAGCGCAGCATTGATCACATTTTTGAAAGGGGCTTCTTCATAGAGTTGACTCTTGTAGAAGTCAAGGTCAAATACACTTCAGTGCAAACTACGACGGAAAAGTCATTTTTCACTTTTTTCGTGAGAAAAAATCCCCCTATCTTCTCTTCGGTGAAGAGTTACGCAGCGTTGGGCATGAAGAAATATTGCATCTCTTAGGGACCCGTTTCCATGAACTATTTCTTGACCAAAGCGTGTTGAGAACAGAGATCCAGCGATACCGATTAGAGTAACAACAGAGTAACAAAATTTTGATTCTGGCTCCTTTCAATTGTGCACAGTTCACCCTGCACCCCGTGAGGATATAAATTTTCCCCCTCAATCGTTCTTGTTTGCTTTCCGGGTAGTCTGGGAAATGAATTATAAGGCTTCTCGGCAATTTTCGCACACTTTGGTGCACGTCCCATCCCCTAATAGCGGTTAAGCTCTTTTTTTCAACCTCTGTGACCCATTTTTCCCCATTCTTCGAGAAGTATAGGGACGGACTATTAGGTTCGTCGTGAGACTGTGCCCCCATTGGTGCCCCAATATCCAAATATCAGTTGAACCCTTTTTCCTCGGCTCACTTCAAACCTATACTCGCTCTTTCCCGGTCTCCGAAACTTCTCGGTCTCTTGGACGAAGATTTAGCCCCTTCGCTGTTAGCTTACATACACTTTCTTCTCTGTAAAGAGCCGTCTTGCAACTGTTTTATGATGCTCGGTGGCAAACTCCGCCCACTTCGGTGCAACCTCGTCTAAACTTAATTTGGGCACCGACATTTTGATCTAGAATGTCCTAGATGATTAAAACCATTTGCTTGAGTTTGAAAAATGCTCTTTTGGAACTGGAAATGTACGAAGTTTTCAGAGTATCGGAAGTTGTTCTGCGCTGCTTCCATGTGCGAGAAGCTCGGAATCCTACTAACATCTCGACTGGACTCTGGTAATTGTGAAGTGCTCTCTTTTGATTCTGCCCATTATCCAAATGATTTCAGGAAAGCGGCTTCGTAATATGCGTCTCGAGTCTTTGAGTGAGGTCAAAGCGCTTTGTCTCAGGCTTGAAGACTTAGTAGCGTCCGAAATGATCACTGAGAAATAGTAAGTTTCAGCTGCCTAAGAACGGTTTCTTGAATTACTTCGTTTCCCACAGCGATTGTATCAATCTGTATAGTTTTTTTGAACTGTTCGAATTTGTTCTGTTATAACTTTTAAGTCTATCGTTTGACGACGTTGCACAACGCGATGCACTCGAAATTATGGGTATTCGATATGAAGAGCTTTCAGACGACATTTTTGCGGTAAGTCGTTTTTTGCGTGACATGAGCTTCTCATTCAGATTTAGCTGTTCTTTTATGGGCTATATATTACTGTCAGTTAATTTTTACCTTTGAGTCCCAACTTTTTGTACGCGAGTTTTCATGATTTCATGCTAATTTATTCTTTTTCAATTGAAAGGGTGCATTGCAGTCCGACGACGCGCTCATGTCTTTGTTCGATGCAGGTAATGACAAAATCAGAGACGCTGAAGGTGAGCTGGATGTGTCAAAATCTTCTTCTGGTTTTGGTGATGCTGGTGCCAATTATGCAGAAATATGTATGCAAAGCATGCTAACGGTAGTCATTCTCTATATAGAAACTATGAACACTGCGTCCGTGTAATGATAAAGAATGTTTACCCCAGGAGGTTGGACTCTGTTATGTGAACAAGGTCGACAAACTTGTCAAGCGCATGACTAGTGAGGCAGCCGAATATCACACTCGCAGTGAGTTTTTTGATGAACATACTTTCCAAAAATTGGCCAAGTTGCTCTTCTCATAGCAGTGATCATCGACTGTGCACTTACTTTATGAACGAGAGGTGGTCACTGTAAAGACGACCCAAACCGTCTTTTACAGTTGTTTGAAAACTGACTTTGATCAAACGGGAAGCTATTTATAACTTCTGCATGGCCAAGTGTCTGTTGGCGGCAAGGACACCCCCACCGCCATCCCTTCAATTGTTGCGTGTTTAAAGGAACAGTTCTCCTCCAGTGTTGGAATAATTCTCCCCTTCTTCGACCTTCAGTATGGTCACCATCTGTACGTCCTACGTCTACAAGTCGTAAAAGCTTGAGGTGCACTGACATAGTCGCCCAGGGTCAATTGAAGAAATTCGGGTTCCGCTTTGTTTATTCTCTTTCATATTGGGTTGTCCAGAAAATCCTGCAACACTTTGAACAAATGCCTTTAAGAGAAAATCGAAACCCTTTTCAGTTGTTTTGGCATTTGATTACTGTAGTGTGTCTTTGAAGGTTTCAGCAGAAGCGTACATGAAGGTTCCGTGCAACATTTTCTCTCTAAGCCGAGCCATCTCTTTTGACCTATTTTATTTCTCGGCCCCTTTGAAGCCACTCTGTTTTTGTCGTTGCAGCTAGCATCTGTGCTGTATCCAGGAGGTAACTCATTTAGCATGATATAGGGTCCCGTTGTCCCT